GGTGTGTGTCTGCTAGTGAGTGTGTTACTGTGTGTGTCTGTTACTGAGTGTGTTTGATGTCTGTTAGTGAGTGTGTGTTTGTCAGTGAAAGTGTATGTTTTGTAAGTGAGTGTGTATGTATGTCTGTCGCTGAGTGTGTCTCTGTCAGTAAATGTGTGTCTGTTAGCTAGTGTGTATGCGTCTGTTCGTGAGAGAGTGTGTGTGTGTGTCTTCAGCACTTACCTTTCTCCAGCGTCGGACTCCCCAGTGTCCGCCTCTCAGCTCCGAATGCACATGCGCGGCAAGAGGCGCGCGCGCATTTAAACCGCCCATAGGAAAGCATTACTCAATGCTTTCCTATGGGCGTTCAGTGTCTTCTCACTGTGATTTTCACAGTGAGAATCGCGGAAGCTCCTCTAGCAGCTGTCAATGAGACAGCCACCAGAGGCTGGATTAACCCTCAGTGAAACATAGCCGTTTCTCTGAAACTGCCATGTTTTCAGCTGCAGGGTTAAAACTAGAGGGACCTGGCACCCAGACCACTTCATTGAGCTGATGTGATCTGGGTGTCTGTAGTGGTCCTTTAAGTGTGTGTGCATACCGCAGTCGCGGGGTCGCAGCCCTGCAACCCCTGCGACCAGGTGCCCGCCACCATGTGTTGCGCCCCCCGACCCGCGCCGAGTAAGCGCGCGAGGGGGGGGGCCCACGGATCAATTTTTGCACCGGGGCCCCATGGGTCATGTGTACGCCACTGATACTAGCCTTCCTATGCTTCCCTATAGGAAAGCAGTATGTTGGCTGAGAACATCAGCAGGGCAGATGCAGGGAGACAGGAGATTTTTCTAATTAAGTAAAGGGGGCCCAAGAATCTAAATTGCTAACATTACACTCACGTGTTTGAAATAAGTTTGTACTCCTAATGCTAGAACATTAATTTTTCCCATGGAACCCTTTGATAAAGTGTACCAACATTGTGGAACACCCCAAAAATATTTGCATCATAGCACAAACATTTTAATTAGCAATATTGTGTAATATTTAATTTTTTGTAGATATATATGCACATATACACACATTCTACAGATAGTAAATACATTGTAGTACTTAGGAGCAGGTGTGCTTTGTGTGTAGAGTTGTTCTTTGTATATAATTTTAGAGTTTTAATACAGGGGTGTGTTTCTATGTAATGTTTGCAATTGTGTGCAGTGGTGTGTTTGGATGTAGTGGTGGCTGTTAAGTGTGGATGTACATTTGTGTGAAGTATTGCTGTTTGAGTTTTTGTATATAATTTTGGAGTTTGAATTCAGGAGTGTTTTTGTATGTAATTTTTGTGTTTGCAGGAATATGTTTTTATGTTGTGTTGGTGTTTGATTGCCGGAATGTATGCACATGCACTGACACATACATACAGACTTACACAGATAAACACATTATTACAGATACACACTTACACATACAGACACAAACACACAGATGCACACACTTTGACACACAGATACACACACAGATACACATACTGGCACATGCACACCAAGATAGGACCTTTTGCCTGTAGGAGGGTGGCTTGCTTGACGTGCTGCTGGCTGAGGCTGGTGTGTGTCACTCCGTGTTGCTGTCGTTCTCCCTCCAGTGCAGGGCTCTCTAAGTCTGGAATTTTCTGCTCTTTAAAAAGAGCAGAAGTTGTATATACCATAACAAGTTCAGCTTAAAAGGATTTGCAAGAGTAGTATGTGTATATATAAATGTGTGTATTATTAATATATGTATTATGCCTAGAATATTTACACATGCATAATCTGCCTAGAAATAACATGAATACATAATATCTATGTAATGGAAACAGCACTTTCTACAGGGTGGAAGGTTTTGGATGAGGCAGTGTGGCCATGAAAGTGCATTGTGAAGATTTTTTGCACAAGGAGCTTAATAGGCCTAAGGCTGACCCTGGGAAAAACTGTACAGTACTGGAATTTTTCCTGTCGTGGAGCTCTGTGATACACTCAAACACAGTGAACATTATTGTGTTTTATTGCCAAGGAGGTCAAGGTAAATTAGGAAAACCCATAACTCTAATGCAAAGAGAACTCACAGATTTTTGTGAAATGGATGACTATCAAGAAACTTCAATGCAATAATTGCTGTTTTTGTATGTGATGCTTCTGTGTAAATGTAGCATACACATCTTTCAAAGAGGAGAACCTCACTAGTGAGCGGAAGAGAGAGTACAGGATAGACCATCCGAAAAAGTGCGTGGTAATAGGCTGAGTGATCGGCCGCCTCCCTCTCGATCACCGCTAGTAGGCCTCTTGTAGGCCGCAGAGTCAACTCCGGGGTAAGCCGCCGAACTCTGTTAAAAACATGATTGGTTTGAGAGCAAGGTATGTCTCCCAGCACCGCGGTGTCATGAGATATATAATTCAAGTGATAAATTTGTATTTAGAACTTTGTTAGGAGCCAGATTACACAGAGTTCTAGAGTGTGCAACTGGTCAGTGCTGTAGTTGGGCCCCGCCCCCTAAAGAGCCATTTCATATTACCTCTTGCTTTATAACAAGACCTCATTTTAATAACCTTTCATTAACCATAGCACACATTCATAATAGACATTGCCATATTAAAAAAGTAAAAACATGAAATCATTTGAAAAAATGCATCCAAAAATATTAAATCATTTGAAAAAACGTATCCAAAATTATAAAATCGAAATCTCTTGCAAGAGTAATGAGTCTTAATGAATTAAAAGCACAGAGAGGTGAAAGAGTGAAACGTGAATTGTTAGTTTACTAAAATATAAGACTGCAGTGGAATACCAAAAGAGGCTACCATAAAACTACTAGAAAAGTAAATTTGCGAAGTATGTTTTCTTTGGAGCTGATGGGGCATTTAATCTAAACAAAAGTTTGTTACTAAAGCCAAAATGGAAGAATATGATATATTGATTTTGTTATTACCATTACTTTGTTTTGTACAATTTACTTAGATCAATTTTCCCATTCCAAAAAACAGGAGGTATAATATTAATAACTATATGCATTTGAAGAAGATCAAATAAAAATATCTGCAATGTGTCATTCTTGCATACTGGTAATATAAGTGATATTGTGTCTTCACTAATTCTTCAAACTTCAGCTAGTCTTTAAACTTTGTTTGGCACAAAGTATAAGGAAAAATAACTCATGAGGTCACGAGACCTAACATCTATGGACAAAATATTATGTGTTGAATATAAACACAACACTAAAGGAAGTAATAGAAGAAGAGGGAAGAGCTATATTGCGTCCATTCGCTCAAAGGAGATATAAATATCAAAGAAGGATGTGTCACTAATCTATCCAACTATTGTCTACTAAAAATGGTGTAACAAGTATTTTCATGTGGACTGGAGTCATACAGCATCAATTACGCACCCCTCGTCTAGACGATTGCTGCAAGCCCAGTCCCTAACATGTGGCATTCTTGCTCGACTGCTAACTCAGTACCTGTCAGCATCCATTTTCAAAAGTCTTTTGCAGACACCAACTGGCTGTACCATGCAAAGTGCTATAAATACACAGGACTTCCATCTACAAGTGACTGGTTCCTTCTGTTGGCTTTCACTGTTGCCTTTGAAGTTGTTTTGTTTGATTGTGCTGTTTATGTTGAACCTTGCTTGTCTCTTGACCTTGTCTGCTCTCTGCGTGCCCTGACCATGGCTCTATATTGTTCTATCTATCCTCACCTCACTGCCATTATTCTTGTCTGACTAGCTTGCTATCATCATTAAGTTATTGTAAGAACTTATAATACAATCTCTGTCTTTCCTACCTTTGCTTTTTAGGATCCAATTGTTAGGTTCACTGTTTCACCGGACAAATTGTAGTTAAATGAGGTGGGCAATGTGGGTGGCAATATCAGTGGATAATATATATTTAAAAATATTGTTCAGAAGCACTTAGAAAACTCAGTGACACATGGTTCTATGTCTGGTTGCTTGAATACCCAACAACCACTTTTTCTGAGTCTGTTAATAATGTAGTGAGTGAGGGTCAACTATGTCATCTGCAGTATATCGAACAAATTAAACGCCATTTTAGAACACCTAAATAGCATTACAATCATGCCCGATGGGCAAATATTATTGTCAATAACTGATTTGCATAGTGGATTCATGGAACGGTTACTCAGAAGAGGTGTATGACTGACTTATGAGGCAAATTATGTCTCGGAAACAATAGGTTAAATCTTGTTGCTGTCTGGTAAATACTCTGAAATGGTGCAAGGCATGTCCTATTTTCCTGTTTGTAATCCAATTACGATAGAGGTAATCAAGCCATTTATATTCCTGGGGTCTTATCAGATAGGCTATAAAAAATTTTTTTTAAAAAGCTAAACAACACAACACCTCCATTTATACCATAAGTAATAAAGGGTCATTCACTTTAAGTTAGCTGATGTTCTCAACCTGTTAGTAGCTTTACAATGGGAGTAGAGAAATGTGAAAAGGGTATCTTTTTGATAAAAGAGTGGAAAAATATTAGAATAATATCTATTCTCTCTGTACATTGCTGAGAAAGTGCTTGAACTTCCAGATACTATTGAAATGTGGTGTATGTGCTTGCTCCCTCTAGTGGCAGATAAAGAGTCTGGGCAAAGAAAAGAGATAACCATTAGTCTACAATCAGAGGTAGCAGCAATAAATATTTCATGTTATTAATGCAGGGCACAGTGAGTTTTGTTCTGCTTATATGCAGTTCTTTTCTCCCAAACAAAACTATCTCCGTCATTTAAGGATACTTTTCCACACAGTGAGTAAGGTTTATGCAATACTTGTTGATGTTATTATGCAATGCAGAGGTCAATCTGTGTCTTAAGACTGTGAACATTATTACTATGTTGTGTTGGGCTGAATTCCTTGAAATCCGTGAACATGCTGCTTGTTTTCCTCCTTTTCGAAGGGAGCTGTAATGTCTTTACTTAAAATCCTCATGAGATATTTCACTTGCCAAGCACAACATGGCATTTACGTGTCCAAAATACACACGCTTCATTTGGAAAACATTTTATTGCCAGTAATTCCTGCAAAGCATTATGCACTGCCATTTCACTTTTTAAATACACATCATATACACAAATATATTGTCCTTTGCATGCCTTTATTTATAAAAAATAATAATTTTTACTGATATATAAAACATTGGTGATATTAATGAATACTGAATGCAATGAAAATAAGCTACAAAACTAAAACGGCTCCACCTTTTCTTCATTCTGTTTGCGAAGTACAGCCAACCTTCTAAATCAAAGCTTAATACTAATTATGGGCACACATTATTTTTCTTATAGAGGATAAACTTCTATGCATGCATTGGACTGGCAAAAGTGTTAGCTCTCCAAAAATGCTTTTGCTATTTTATGTTTTCTGTACTTCTTAGGAATTACTGAAAGTGAGGGATCCTGGTTGCATCATTTTGGGTTGTGAAGCTGACGGCTACGCAAATTTCTAGCAAATGAAGAATTATTGTTCTACGTTATGGAATTTGACTTTCCTTGACTTCATTGCCATGTGCTTTACTTTATTGATAAAGTGTTTTACCACATTTTGAGAACTACTATAATACATGCAGAACCAAAGAATAATTAAGTAAAGCTAAAGTAATACTACTGGATGAAGAAGAGGATGGCATTCCTTATGTTCTGTGATGTATGTATGGCTGCAGGTTGAATGGTTCCCCCATCATTATAACCGATTTCAAATGGTGCTAGAAAAAGCAGATGACTCTGAACACCAGAAGAAATCGGTCATCCTTTAAAAGGGGTTCATATTAGCGCTTCTCAAGATGTATCTTCATCCATATGTCCAGATGGAAGTTTCCTTGCTTTGTTACGCTAGATAATAAAATGCTCTTCACACTGAAATGTCCCTATCGTCAGCAGGATTTGTCACATTCTATTCCCTGCTGATCACTGGTTATCTCACTGAAAATATGTATTTCGAAATTTGAGCTTTTTGGATTCCAACCATCCATGGCACTTTGGATGCAGTAGGTGATGATGCGGGGAGAAGCAACCGTTTTATGACTTTACATATTACTGCAGTTCTTTTGAACCTCACATTTAATCAAAAAGTCTTTAAAGAGTCTAGCAACAAATGTCATTTGAATCTAAAATCCAACAACATAATGCAATGTAAAAGTGATCCCTACTATAAAAAAGATCATCTCTGGGCAATTGAAATAGATATTACAGCAAGTCAAGATAATGTTTAAAACCCAAAATAAAATACAATTATGGTTGATTGAAACAGCATTCCAACACCTTTTTTTTTTAGACAGGCAGAATTTCCCCTTCCAAGGACACTGATTTCATATGGTGCTAGACATTATACTCTTAAATCTAAACCACCAAATGAAACCAGCCTCCTGAGAATGGGTAGAGTTTGTCTTGTCCTTCAGTGCACCGTATCAGATTCTTTATAGCTCCTCTTTTCAATTCCACACTTTTACAAGATGTTACAATGCTTGGAATCAGGATCTGTTTGTTGACCTTACATACAACGGACTAAACTTTTTAACCAAGGCTCTCTATCTTGCTTTTTATAAGCTATTAGATTATGCTGTTTTTTGTTATTTTCAGAAACCTGGTCCTTTCCCAACCGACTTATTTATGAGCTTAGTAAATCTTTTCCAAGTCTGCACTCCATTTCTTCTTATTTTACATCATGATGACCTGAGAAAGACAAGAAAGCAGACATCAGTAATGCAAAAATACATATTGACAGAACAGAACATAGATGTTCTGGACTGTTACAAAATAATTATTTATATTGCTTACATAGCAAATATATTAAAACATAAATATGTGTGTTGCAAATAAGGATGGTTATACTCATAGGTATACGTGGTATGTCCGGAAAGTAGCCAGCCAAGTATTGTGAAAAATAGAGACATTTATTGAACAAGATACAAGAAACATTGTACATAGAAAAATAATGCATCAGTCCCCTTCAAAGTAGGTACATTGAGACCTCACAGAGTTCTCCCACCATTTCTTCCACTGTTCAAAACACTCTGAAAAATCCTTTGTTGGAGTCGCCATCAGCCAATAGTATTTACCTGAATCTCATTGACGGTCTGAAATATCTTCCCTGATGATTCAAGTTTTGGGAAAAGCCAAAAGTCACAGGGTGTTAAATCTTTCAACAGATTCTCAACCATCTTTGAAGCGCTTGTGCCACACTTTTATTTACGCTGCACTCATTGCATAATCCAAATATTTTCCGTGGAGGATTGTTCAAGTTTAACGCAAATGTTGATGTAGAAAAAACAGAAACATCACATTGATATAAGCATTCAAAACCTTAGATGTTTCCATATTTTGCAGGGAGTTCACCTGTGGCAAATCCAATGGATTTAACATGATTTGTGAAGACACAAATCTGTTTATCTAACTTGTAAATGTATACCAGGTAAAAACAATGCCATAAGTTCAAAGGAACTGCCTGTAGAGTTAAGAGACAGGATTGTGTTGAGGCACAGATCAGTGGAAGGCTACAAACCTTTCCGGCTGAATTATAGGTTCGCAAGAGAAGAAGTTTGGAACAACCTATAGCTAACCTGCCGGCCATACTGCTCAATCGTGGGAGAATGGCCTTGGTAAGAGAGGAGACCAAGAAACTAATGGTCGCTCTGCATGAGCTTTAAGATAGTGGAGATGGGAGAGCTTATGAAAGTTTCACTGCAACACTCCACCGATTGTCCAGTCGGAAGACACCTTACTGCAAGACACCTGAAAGCCCACTTGGAATTTGTGTTAAAAAAAAAAAAAAAGCACCTAATGGACTTTCAGACTGTATGAAACTAGATTCTCTGGTGTGGTGAAATGAAGATTGAACTGTTTTGATTCCATTAAAAGCATCATGTCTGGAGGAAATGAAGCACTGTTCATCACCACTAATAATTTAAACAACTGCGGCTTAAGGCTTTAACAAAAACAATGTGAAAAAACAAAGTCTTCTGAATACTTTCTTAATGCACTGTAAATTGTTCAAATACACTTTCATTGTCCTATTATATGTTCTCTCATAATGACACTGCACATTTATACTTGGACACACATAAATATAGACACACATATGATTTCACTCTCCCCCATTTGCTCTCTCACACCCTCCTTCAGCTGCATTCTAAACACACACTTTAAGTCCTACACTTTGGATAATCAGCATGTTGATTGGACCAAAACACAATGAGATGGTCTCACTAAGCACACAAATACAGTTTTTCTGTGTCCAGCTCCAGATGATAATATTATCACTGTGCTGTGTTTTTGTAGAGTATCCTATTTAAATTGTATATACACAATTTTGGAAGTGAAAGGGTTAAAAGTTAAACATACGATTATTGGAAATATGCATTTAATAATCAAGGATATTATAAAATCTAATATGACAATAGTACACAGTTACGCATTACACTTTTAATGTCCCTAAATGGTAAGACTGACACTGACTAATTTGTATTTTATGACGTGCCACATTCTGCTAAAAGCTCCAACTGGCTACTACATAAGTCGCACTGAGTTAGAACTTCTCCAAATATTTTTCAACAGTTACCTTAAATTACCATTAGCTGAAATTTGGTAAATGAATACATACTAAGCTGGATGGAGCAGGGACTTAAAAGTTGGTATTTAGGTCACACTAGTTACCCAATTAAGATGTTTGCTGTTCTGGCACTAGATAGGTTTCCAGGGTACGACTGACTGCCCACGTTCACAGATTTTAATTACAAGAGACTGCTATTCAGAGTCCCTTGACTTTTTTTTTCTTTATTGCTATATCTGAACTTTACAAAGTTAATGAAAAACAAACCACCATGAAACAATCAAGCATTAAATGCGACCATTGTACAGTGATAATAAAGCACCTGTGAATCAACCTTAATATTTGTAATTATGAATCGTTAGGTCTTCATAACCAATATATATATATTTGATAGGTAAACACTTAAATGCAACGTTTACTGGTTTAACTTAATCCCCTGATTTTCATAAAGACACACTCATAAACATCATGGGACTTATCTGCTATGTCCTAACAGGATTCAGGTTTCAATTTTGCCTTCTCCAAAACAAGACACACGAAGAGAAAAACAACTGAAGGTAATTGTCCATGACAGATGTTCTGCAGAATACTATGGGAGTGGGATGGTTAATTTTGTCCTTGGCACTTTCATGTTTGTCCTACTCCGGAATGCCACGTGCCAGTCAGAAGACAGCACTCCATAAAAATAATTCTGTTGACTGTTTGTGACTCAGCATAGATGGCGCAAACTATTCTGTGTAGTTATTCCGAGACAGTTATTGAATCAATGTCATTCTTAAATACAACTTCTGTACATGAATGTTAAATATTAATTTTTAAATTAATACTTTTCAATAGTAGGCTGTGGATTACATATAACAAACTAAAGAAAAAACATGATTTGGGGGTATATTGCAGTGTTTGAGATACTTAATGTGGGTGCTGTGGAGCTCCTAGAAGCAATTTTCACTCATGATTCATCCTTAACTGGACATAAAGAAACCAAATGATACCCGCTCAACATCTACATCACCCACTATGACATAACATCAAACTAATCTCCATTATGTACTAATCTGTATATCTTGTAGTAAAGTTTGTCAAGCACTATAGGAAGGGAATAATATATTTTTATATTCCATCAATAAATTTAGTATCATTTATTGTAAGCCAAATATTTTAGATGCCTAGACAGAAGCACACGTGCATCATTATCATGAATTGTATTGTTTTTCTGCTGGTAAAACAAGTATAAAAGACATTAAAAATGTCTTATTCTAGTAATGCTCTCCATTTATTTTTGTATTTATTTTTATATTCCCACATCACAAAATAGAAATCACAATACTGTATCATATTCTCATAGGCATCATGATGGACACATTTTGCATACATGACAATATGCAATGTGAGAAGGTTTTTGGGATAACAATTGTGTGAAAATGCTAAAATACCAGTAAATGATATACATATCTAGGCCTTATACACTGTATAGAGAGCTGATGGTTTAAAACATAGTATAATATAGACTCAAAATGCTAAGGCTAGTTTTGTTGTGTTTGAATACAACACAAGCTTGCTAAATAAAATAAAGTTAAAGTGAATCTCAACGGTTATATGGCAGTGGGTACATAATTAAGTGAAGCTTGACAAGCCTGACAAATTCCTCAACCTATTCCCCTATGACAGATTTGCACATGTGGCATATAATTAGGGAAGAACACGTGAGTGCGCCTATGATATAGACAGGAAACAAGTATGCCTCCAATGCCAATCAGTCAGGTCATGTTTGCTGTCCAAGGTTGTTCCACTATACGCCATGTAGTAACGATAGGATGCGCCTTATAGCATCTGCTCCCTTTCTTCTGTCTGCAGAGGTACTGTGTAAGGATGCAGTGAATGGAGGTACACCATCTGATGGCCCATCATGTAGAAAGTGGTTGTGGTCGTGGCTTCTGCCTTGGTCAACGAATCAATAGACTCTTGTGCGTCTCCTGCTTAAGTATGGCATTGAAAGACGTCTTCCCATTAATCACAACAGAGCCGTTGTCTGTCATCGATCAAGTGGAGACATGGACCCCAGGACTTTTGGTGGAGCTGCCCTCTCTCCCAGAAATCAGAGCACAGCTGCTCAAATGCTTCTAAAACTTGATCTGAGCCGCATACATTTACCCTGTTCCACAGAAGCCTACACCTCACGCTCAGCCGGCGTCCTTGAAACGTGCCCACAAGTCATCTTGGGTGAGTATGCAGAGATCTATCTACTTGTGTGCTCCCCAGTCGAGAAACTACATACAGTAGCACCAGGTTAACCCTCACTGGCAAGGGGGAACTACGCAAAGGCGTTCTGCTCTCAAGACAAGGTGCAGGGATCGTCCACCTCACTCTACCCCAGGTCATCTAGTAGGCCGTAATGCAGAGAGCTGCCAAAAATGATCAGAGCTGGCATCAAGCTACACTATCATATAATTCAATAAGACCATATTATCCCATCCATATATTTCTCCAGAGAGCAGCAAAATTCTTACTACATAACAACTTATTATTAAGGTGAATGAGTTCTATTACAAACACCTAAAGAAGGCAATGTCAAGATATTTATGGACTCTGATGGATTATTTGAGAATATGGAACACCTTTAGTTGATCTGAATTGCATCCTCTGCTGCGCTCATACATACACCCGTAAATCTCACAATAATGCCCTAATCAGTTAGTATATATGAGTACATCTTGTATTATCTAAGTCTGTAATGTTCTTGGATTTATTGACGCTGATAAGGGGAGAATACTTTGGAACAAGGAACTCCGATGCCCAATCTAAGATGTATCCTCCAACAAGGTTGTGGTCGCACATGCATCTCTCAACACCCTAAAGAGTATACATAACGGTTATGGTTTTACATTGCCAAAATAATATTTTAGGTGTCTTTAGTCAATCTCAAGTACTGTAGCACTGTGAAACACATGCAATGTTCTTGAGCTGTTGTTTCAAACATCAGTAATAATCAATGACTTCTCCTTAAGAGATTTCTCACATAAGCAGAGTTGAGTGCTCCAGCAATGATCCACTTCAATCTGTCCTATTAGGCAAATAAACATTGTTGAATTGCTTTATTCTGTTTTGGATGCTTTATTCTGTTTTGGTGAAAATATATATTTATAGATATTCGAGAATGTAAATATCTTTTTTTATCTTAGACTTGATTAAATCTTGTCATTTCATCCTATGATTTTTGTTGTTAGAGAAACCACAAATATGGATTCAAGGACGGTTTTATTCTTAACTTTCAGATCTAAAAAAAAAAAATTCTTGAACATGCAGCCCTTCCCTATGAGGTCACAGCTTTTAAGTGCCCTAAGGGGAACAGATTGTTCCATTCAGTTCAGGATTGCAGAGTTTGTTTACACAATATGAATGGACAAAATGTATCATTAACCCTTTCACTGATGCAGGAGCACTAATGAAAGGCAACAAGCTTGTCCCATATACTAGAAAGGAAATATTGGTTTAAATGTATAGTTACATATGTACTCCAACAATGTACTGTCAGGTACATTGTTGCAGACAATTATATTTTCGCAAACGGATCTATTTATTTCAGATTATGTATGGAGATATGTATTATGATGACACAAAAACAGCTGGTCTATTTTGTTTACCCATTTCTTTTTCAATATAATATGTCTATAGTTAGATGTAGACATCTAGATCTGGATAACCTTCTTCTACAAAAACCACCCACCTACTCAACATCATTTTGAGATATGTGTAAGATTGCATTATGTTGCACCATCTATTCTATGCTTCACTTTACACTTATGTATGGCTATCAGTCTCTCTTGGTTTGCATTATAACCCAGAATGTGTAGCAAAGGTGATTTCTCCAGAACCAGACATTTTCAAGACCATGTCTTATTAGTGAGCTAGAAAGTGTAATTATCATGTCAGTAGTTCTAGCACTAATCATTCTTCCTATGTTCCTGAGTACTCTATTGGCATTACCCATTTTGTTATTTCCACATGGTTTATTTTTCATTTAAGACTAATCCATTACTAATATGGGATAATGAAAATGGCATGATATTTGGGAAAAGAATTGCTTGCTAAATTACAAATGGAGGATAGGAAGGGCGATCCCATCACTGAACAACTAAGAGTAGAATTTGGGAGATACTTTAAAATTGGTAGTAAAAAAGTTAAAATATGTCAATTTTGATTCCTGTGCCTCTAGTGTTCTTGTGCCCCAGGAAAGAGTTGTCTCTAAGAAGATCTGTTGGTGGATTCTGACTACAAATTGAGTACTATTGCCTGGGACATGTCAAATGTTAAAATCAACAATGCAGAACATGAAAGAGGATATTAGATAAATTATCAGATGTTGCATGGTTATTTGCCTCTGTCGTCGTTGATCAGCTTTGGTCTACATGTTCTTTCAAAGTTATTATAAGAGCACTCAAATAAAATAAATTTAAAAAAACCTTGATCTATCTGTATATAATTTTAGTCCACCATTTTGCCATTGAAAGGGTTTAAATCAATTAAACTCCCCTTTTGTAGAGAAGCATTGAAAGCATTGCTTCTCTATGAGAAGTACTCAGATTTGTTTTGACCTGTAGTTCAAAGTGACTGAGACATAAAGCACTCCTAGGTGTCTGCTTGACAGTTGATAAGTGTTACTATCCGGATTTAGAAAAATGTTGATTTCTCTTGCAATTGACACGTTTACAAAATAAGCCAGAGGAGCATGTTGAAGTACTTTAGGGGACTGCAGTGTCCCTTTAGTCTTCCTTAAGGACACAACTTCTTGAATAAAAGGGAACCATGACAGAATATTTCCGTCATGTGTCCTTAAGGGGTTAACAATCTAGGATTATGAAAAATCATTAGAATACCATCTACATAATAGATAATTGCCACTGGAGGGTGCTCTTTGACTGCAACACAGTTGATTCCTAGTTCTACTTCCAACAAAAATATCGAATTGGTATCCAATATACATATAGGGTTTGTGTGTATGTAGCAGTAGTTATTAGCTGTTTTGAGAGGGACCACATTATGTACATATCATTAGCGGAGGTGCCCATTTTTAACTGGTAAAATTATAACCTAAAGATAAACTAAGTAAAATAATATAATATAATATACTAGGATGTCTTTATTAGTCTCTCCCCAGTGTCGATGAGTACAGAGTGCTGTAACAGTAATACCATTTAATACAGACAGATGCTGGGGGATTTGTAAGTATCAAGCGCTTCTTCCAACCAGTGGAGATCAACAGAAATAGTATGGGGACACAATTTTATGTTCCAATTCAGGTGTTTGTGGTATGAACATGTGTGTAATTGTGATAGGTTTAATAAGCAAAAGACTGCATAGCATCTTTATTGACAACACATGGAAACATTAGATTTTTTTTCATATATCTTACTACTAGAAATACTCATCCTCTTCTTTGTGAGAGTGAGAGCACATTGTGCCTGAAAAAGAGGTATTTTGGAAACCGGAGCCATTGGAACTGTACACTGTGAAGTTTATTTCCCGTTGTAAAGAGCTAGGCTCCCAGTAGTCAGAAGTGTGACAGATGAAGAGGTTCTTTTTAAATAAACAATGTGGTCAAAGGGTAACCATACTGGCTGGATTGCAAAAAATAAAATAAAATAAAAATTGAGGCACATTATTAATTTATTTACACAATTTTTGGCATTATCAGTAACACAGTCAAGCTACTGAAGTTCTATCACTCCATTTGCTTCTGTACCTCAAATCTGTATGCTTCTGCTTCAGTCCAAATGGTCTGGCCTAGGGCTTATTTCTGTCATGTAACTCAATTGATACAGATTTATTAAAGGGACACTACAAACATGTATTCCTGACACTATAGTCCCTATGTGGCTGTTAAGGTCCACGGCCCCACTTAGATCGCTCTGAAAAGCTGAATTTAATCTTGGTCCTGCTTCCGTGGCATCAGTTTTAAGGAAATCAGCGTCTCCTCAGATAGATGCATTGAATCAAACGTTCATCGTCTCCATGCAGAGCACTGGACTAGGATGCAGCTAGGATGGAGGTGTTACTAGGCAGCAATGTAAAATGCTGCCTTTTCTATGAGAAGGCAGTGTTTACATTGAAAAGACTGCAGGGGCAGGATATAGACACCAGAACCCCTTTATGAAGTGTCCTTTTAAATCTAATCTAAAACTAAGTCAGTAACTGCTATTTTGGACCTTATTAATAGTTTGTTGCCCATTTTACATCCAGCTGAGACCTGATCGGAATGCGCTGAGAATGTTCAATTCTCCTTTGCCTATACCTAAAAGAAACTGAAGTACTACATAGAGGTGAAACATTTGTAAATATATTGATATTATGATAAAGTCCAGTGAATTTGTATTTTTCTTCTGATCGTGATCATGAGAGGCTGCTAATTTTATTTTTAGATGGATACAGTGCAGAGGGAAGAACGTGCTTTCTCTGTGGTCAGTGTATATGATGTGAGTCAGTAAGAGCTGCTGTTTGTGGCTTGCTGACTTTCTCCAGACTCACTGGAATGTCCACTCTTTGCTCATACTGTGTTCATAATGTGCATGTGGTAGGGTTTGTTTTATTCTCATTGACACTGTAAAAGTTCAGGCCAGGCAAAACAGTAAAATTACTAAGCCAGTCGTTGTCATTACAGAACACACACAAGCCTTATAACCTGCATGTTATGCTCTAATTCTGTTCTGAGATGGTGACTTGCAGGTTAATAAACAGTCATACCAGGAGAGATGTTAAGGCTTCATGTGTTTCAGAGAGGGGAAAGTCCAGTAAGTGTGAGGAAGAACTTCCAGTAAGATATTCCAGGGGGTATTGCTCAACTCTGAAGGGGATGACATATTGTGTATGTGGACCTGAATCCTTTTTACAATACTTGCATCTTTGCTCAACAGAACACAGCCATTAGTGATTAAGGAGAAAAAAAACACAAAGCTTATGAATTTTGCACCTGTTCTCCCTCCTTAGCTCATCGTAAGCCAGATCTCCCAACACTCAAGATGACAAGGAAGTTAGACATCAATAATACAGTAATTGTGGAGATTATGTACTATGCTTGTAAGAACAAACTATTGTTCTTGCAGGCAAACCACAGACATTAGTGTCTCATTTCATCAGGCTCACAGCTATGCATCAGTCAAACAACTGTACATGGATTCAGTAACACAGAAGAGATTTTCTGGCCATTCAATCATTTAAACATTTACCAGAAACCACAGCATATTTGAGAAGATAATTGCCAGATACTTACATATCATTTTGTCTAAAGTAATTCCCATGCTGTTTATTTGATATACAATATATAACAAACCAGAACCTTGTACTGCACAGCCTTCTATTACATTACTTGCCTAGGCAATTGTCTCTTCCAAATCATGGATGCATCAAGTAAATATGGTAGCACTCACCGGTCTTCATTAAAAATACTCTTCTTCTCATACTTTAATTCAACGCTTCAGTCCTAAAACTTTTATCAAAATGCCATGCACATACAAAACACAATCATTAAAGGGACACTATAGTCACCAGAACAACTACAGCTTAATGTAGTTCTTCTGGTGAGTATAATAGCTCCCTTCAGGCATTTTCATGTAAACACTGCTTTTTCAGAGAAAAGGCAGTGTTTACATTGCCCCTAGGGACCCCTCCAAGTGGCGACTCCTTTCATGGCCACTGGAGGGGCTTCCTAGCTCAGGTCTGCAGAGTAAGCAGCCGTGCCATTCAGTGTCCCCACGCTCTGCATGGAGATGTTGAATTTTCCTCATAGAGATGCACTGATTCAATGCATCTCTATGAGGAGGTCCTGATTGCCCAAAACAGCATTTGGCCCCGCGCAGATTTTAGTCAATTGGATTGGCTAAAAATCGGCCATTCTGATGATGTCCCAAAGGGGGCGGACACAGCACCGGCGGACCAACACGGCGCTGGAAATAAGATGTGTTTTAAACTTTTATAGGGGGGCTAAGGGAGGGCAAGCCACCTATATCGTGGGTTAACACTATAGGGTCAAGAATACATGTTTGTTGTCCTGATCCTATAGTGATCCTTTAAATATCCCCCAAACACCTAAAGAATGGTTACTTGATAGGCAAGATAAAAAACATTTACTGGATCATGTTAGATATACCACTCGATTAACCTCACCAAGTGAATTACGACTTAATTAAAAACATGCCTAAATCTCTATAAAATGTGTGTATGACATCATCAATATCTTCTATTACAAAGATCTACAATATAACCTCAATAACTAAAGGTCACCAATCCTATGTACTCACCATCTCATATAACTATAAATACTGATACAAAATTATTAAACTATGCGGAATAACATTTTCTATACATTGTTATTTATATTAAAAATATTATTATGTCTCGGTACATACAGTATTTCTCATGAATTGTTTTTTTAATTACTCACACAATTGAGGAAGCTGTAAATCAAAAGACAGAAGAAATACCCCACCCTTCAACTAAATCACTGCCATGTTATCCTATTGTTCTAATATCTCCTTAGGCAATAATGCCCTCCTATTTTCTTATGTCTCCCCAAGCACAGAATAGTTGCCTAGGGGTCAATAAAACTTTTAGATGCAATATATGTTAGTATTGATCTTGAGGAGATAAGCAATAATATTAAGTGAACACCATGGAACTATATAACTTTGTGCAATTGCTAGGTTTGTATCCGCCAGCCCTGTGCATAATGGATCCTGGTGTGCACATTGTTACGCAAGACCCAGCAGGTTTGGCACACGCTTTTACAATGTTTGATCTGCAGTATAACTAACGTGCACCTGCATCTAACTTCAGGACTGCACCTGCTACTCACTGTCTGGTACTTCAGATTGCAATACCTGAACTGCATGTTACAAGAAGGACTCTAAGGACTGCTAACCAGTACTGAATTCTTCTTTCACAAACCACAACTATTTTATGACTGCTATAACGTACTGTCATTCTACGGAACTTTCCAAATTAGAAGAACAGGAAACATTAAAATTACAAATAAGCAAGAAAATATCAATCAACATTTGTCTGTGTTCACACATAACGCACCATTATGAAACAAGCTCATAGTTTATTTCTAACAACTTAGAGCTTAAAGGGTTACTCCAGCCATAAACCAGTGTTTTTATAAAATGCAGGTTTTGGTTAGAGTAACTTTTTCTAAGGTGGTCTGCCCCCAAACTTGAAAAAATGTAAATAAATTCTAAAACTCACCTACGTTCTAGCACAGAGTCTCCCTGAAGCCCGATCATCCTCGGTTGACATCATTCCCCCTTGTTGGCGTGGGAATTAGATCAACGAGGATGGGCTGGGGGGAGGACAGAGGCGGCATGAAGGGAGGCGAGATACCAATGGCTGGCTGTCTTCAGACATCAAATTTGCACAGACTTTACCCCACTTTGCTGTGCACTGCCTAAAAAAGATGCCGGAGGTGAAGAACACCTATGACAGCTAAGAGGTTCATCGCTGTATGTGAGCATTTCAAATTGAAATGCTGCACATAAAGACTCCAGGCACCAAGTCCACTTCAAATAAATGCAGTAGTCATGGTGCTTGGAGTAATCCTTTACAGATTTAAACCACGCAAATTCACAGAGTTCAGGCACAGGAAAGAAAACAGGAATCAAACGGTATTCAATCAGTATAGAAGAAAGATTAGGTGCTCATGACTGCATCCTACAAAAGATTTAAAAAAAATTATCATTCACTCTAGTGAAAAGCATAGAAATTCAAGGATAGCTATGGTGTACTGGAATAAAATGGAATCATGACGAAATATTTCCATCATGTGTCCTTAAGGGGTTAAACTGTAAGATTCTACCTGTTACTTTGAGGTGTCTCTTTCAGTTGTTTTTACAGCTTAAGTACTACACAAACATTTATCATTTTTTTTTCAATATAACTCCTGTTGACTCTCTGGCATTACTTTCTGTCACCACTGTGTGGTCCAAAAGTGTCCCAGTTAATGGGAAGGACACACATGAGCCGTCTGGCTGTAATTGGCTTCTGTTTATTTGAGTGTTGCATAAGCAGCTACCATTTATTTAATTAGAGGAAGCAGAACTCATGACAAGAACTTGATATTGCATGAATGTGCAGTCTTTCTCCAATTTTACTTTAGTTTTATTTCAGGGATTGGCAGCGGGCACAGGATTGTCCTGAGGACACAAAATAGATCAAATCACAGGCATAACCTTTTTGCAATATTTATGTAACGCAATATAAGTAAGGAGATGTTATTTGTGTGATGAGCGCATTATACTAGTCATAACTAGGTAATGCTGAAATTTCACAAGTGTAATAATGTTGGATCAATAGGGTCATGCATATTTAGCACATGAAACAAAAAACAACACAGGATAATGTGTCATATTGAGAATACTGGTAACTGACATCACTGTGTGACCTGCCCAAAAACCAGAGAATTGATGGATTTTAATGAATGGTTCACGATGTCGAAATACGAAGTTGTTCTCCACCACTGCACTGATGGACAATGGGATTTGAAGGGGCATACATTACTATTACATTGGGGGAGATTTATCAAAGTGTTCTGTTCTAAAAAAGTGTCTACCGTATTAAAGTAGGGCATTCACCACAGAAACCAGTAGAGCAACCAGCAGGCAAATTCCATCAGTGAGGACTTTTACATTATATTTTTGCATCACTTTGTAGAACAGGACATTTTAATAGGTCTCTCCAAATGCATCTATGTTTGTGTCCCTGCATGCATCACCTAAGTGTAAGCTTTTACTTTATTCTTCGCCCTTACTCTAACAAATATATCAGTACATATGCATAAGGAGTAAAATATGGCCTCTTATACAAAAAAAAAATGTATTAAAAAAGAAAATCATTATTCTCCATTGATGATTAGGCTTCATGCTCTCTGATTATGCACAAAATAGTAACT